AAAACCGGAAGTGGCGCTGTAGCTCAAGTGGTAGAGCGCTCGCCTTGAGCTGAAGAGCTGAGGGACAGCGCCCAGGCCCAGAGTTCAAGCCCCACGGCCAACCAAAAAAAAAAAAAAAAAAAATTTTTATTTTGGAAAGCTTTCTAAGGTTGTTGGTCATATGCTTAAATGCGTAAGTGTGTTAGTGGGGTGGAGATGAGAAGGGATGGGAAGGGGAAACAAAGAAGGAGACAACAATGCTTGATAAGAAATGTACTCATTACCTTGCCCATGTATGGTATTTTCACAATAAAAAATAAAAATAAAAAAAATAGTGTGTTAGTTCTGGGGTGTGGCAGTGGGGGCAGGGGCAGGCGATTTTACTCAACAGACTTTAAGAAAGTGGTTTAATGTATCAACTTCTTGTAAGTTTTAGGAAAGTATAGTGTTTAGCATGGAGTTTTTATCTCTTGTCTTAAAAAATGATCTTAACTCTCAAATTTATATCTTCTGGGATTCCTTAGTGCTTCAATATGGAGGTCAAGGCATAAACTACTTAAATTTCCAGATATTAATTTTTTAAGATCTTGGCAAGGTGAGACTGGGTACAATGGTTCAAATTTGTAATCCTAATTTTTTGGGAAGTGGAGATCGGGAGGGTGGAAGTTAGAGGCTAGTTCTGGCAAAAAATTAGCAAGACCTCCTATCTCAACCAACAAGCTGGGCATAGTATGTCTGTCATCCCAGGTAGGTAGGAGATATAAACACAAGGATCATAGTCCAACTTACTTTGGGCGGAGAAAAATAACTAAAGCAAAAAGGACTGGAAAATGGATCAAGTAGTAGAGAACCTTCCTAGCAAGATTGAGGCATTATGTTCAAAATCCAGTATCATAAAACAAGCAGTGGTACACACATAAAGAATAAGTCTAATCAGCTACATGAGTTAATGAAATACAAATAATTGTTCTTTGATTATAAACACTTCAGAATTTAAATTTGGAAAATCAAGTATAAGCCATTTGAACATAGTTAAGACTTAAGTAAAGATCAATTGAGCCATCTTTATTTGACTCATATTTTTCTACCTGCTCACATAAATTTGCCTCTTTCAGTGCTTAGAGAGAAAGGCTTTTTTTTTTACTTTGAGTGATATTTAGTCTATGATCTTTCAGATTTCTTTCTTTGTAACTTTTACTAACTTGAAAATGATTTTAAAATTAATTCTGTTTATAATCTTTTTGGGAGGGCTTGAGTCATGGTGTGTGAAACGCTAAAACCTCAGTAATTAGGGTAACTGCACTCTGCATAATCTAAAATTCATAGAAGAGAAGACACTATGTAAGCCCAAATTTATTGTAAAGAACAAATCATTTGTGCGATCTGAGATCTAAAGCCATTATAGCTAGGAAAGTGTGTTAGACTTTTATTTGCAACTAACCAGCAAAACGCTAGGAGTTGACATATGCCTCAAGAGGTAGAGTGCTAGCTGTAAGCAAAAAAGCTAAGGGACAGTGACCAGGCTCTGAATTCAAGTCCTGGTGCCAGCACAAAAGAAAGGGGAGGTAGGTGGGACCCAGCCAGAAGCTTAATTTTATGACAAGGAAAATGAATAAGAATAGATTTAAATTATACTCTATGGTAAATAATAGATGTGTCTTTTTGTTCTCTGTTTTTTTCCCTAGTGAAGGACAATGGCTAACTCAGAGATTTGTAGTTTTAAAACTTTCCTGCAAACAATTTGTTTATCTAGTTTCTGATGAAATCCAGTGAAAACTTGTATATATACTTAAAACTATAATTTTTAGCCATGACTAAGTCAAAGTATTTGGAATTTATATTGATTTTATTTTATAATGTTAAGCTCAGTAAAGTGGATATAGTGACCATTTTGTTGATTAAATTATATCTTTAATTCCTAGTTCAGTAGAGATATTAAATATTTGTGAAAGGAATGGAATGAATACATGAATTGATGATAATGTTTAGATTTTCATTAGTTATAAAGTTATGAAAAATGTGGAGTCCTGGTAATTGTATCAGCCTTTTTTTTTTTTTTTTTTTTTCCAGTCCTGGGGCTTGAACTCAAGGCCTGGGCATTGTCCCTGAGCTTCTTTTGCTCAAGGCTAGCATTCTACCACTTGAGCCACAGCACCACTTCGGGCCTTTTCTGTTTATGTAATACAGAGGCATGGAACCCAGGGCTTCATGCATGCTAGGCAAGCACTCTACCACTAAGCCGCATTCTCAGCCTTTTGCTGACAGAAATTCTGTCTTTAGAAGTTATTATTTTAGGAATTTGTATTGGAACATTGTTCTTAACAAGCAGGAAGGACACATATTATTTTGCAGATACAGAGTTAGAACCAAACTTGTGTTTATATTTTTTACTTTGCCCTCGGAAAGCAGATTTTGAAAATGGCATGTAATTAAAATTCATATTTCAGAATATTTTGTATATTAGCAAATAATACTATAAATCTGTTTCAACATCTGTGGATAAAGGGAACTTTGTGTAGTTAGTGATTAAAAAAAAAACGATAGGCAAAGGACAGGTCATATTTTGACCTCTGAATTCATGAATTGATTCTTATAGAATTACCCACATTCAAAAATGAAATAATCGAAATTAAAAATGCCAGAAAATGATAGTACATTAGG